ACATTATAAAAAAAAAAAAAAAAAAAAAAAAAAAAAAAGAGAAAAATACTATTATTTTGTCTGACACTGAAGAAATCATGATTGATATAGAAAATATAACAGATACAGTTTATAATAATCTTGTAAATGTAGATGATATTGATAAAAATTTAGAAAGTATCTATGGGTTTTATTTTAAAATGACAATTAATTTAGATACATTAATAAATGAAGTTCCATTAGAAATAGAACAAGATCAATATGAATAATATATTGCGGATAAAGTCATCAAACTTGTTGAGCAAGAAGATAGTTATGATTATATATATCATACAAAGACAGTTTCAAAAAAAACAAAAGTAAAGTCATTTTATTACTGGTGTAATTGCCGTGAAGAACTTGCTTCAAAAGGTCAAAAACATAGTGATATTTCAAAACAATTAAATACCAAAACATATCTAACTTGATATAAATGTGAAGGTCTTTTTTCAATTTCTATTAACTTAGTTAATAATTGTGCAAGTATTAAACTTAGTCATAAACAACTTCATCGATAACCAAAGTTTATTGGTGTAACAGAACAAATTAAACAATTTATTTGTGAACATCTAGTTTTTAAGGCATCAGAACTTTATTAGAAAATTATTTCTAAAAAACTTGATAGATTTGAAAATATAACAATAGATCAAGTATACTTCTGGTGAACCAAGGAAATATCGGCATTTTATTGACACTATGATGATCAATACAAATCTTCAAAGTTGTTTTTAACTGAAAAAAACTATAATATCATACTTAATTTAGAAGAACCAATATATATATTTAGTTTTTTAACTAAATTTTTTAATAAATTACTACATGAAGCATTTAAAACAATTATAGTTGATATAACTTATAATACAAACTAATTAAAATATAAACTTTATGCTTTGATAGCAGTAATAGATAATACAGAATTTCTAATTTTATACTGTTTTATTAAAGCTAAAAAAGAGTAAGATATGTGTATAGCTATAACTACATAATTTAAATCTTTATGAGAAAATAGGCTTAAAGAGATTAAAATACTTCTTTCTGATAAAGATTTTGCTTAAATTAGTAGTGAAATAGCTATTTGAAAAAATGTAGAGGTTCAATTATGTAAGTGGCATATGAAGTGAGCAATTAAAAAAAAATTTTCTTCTTAATATTTTAGCAATTCAACATACTATAATGCTACTATTACTCTTCAACAATACTCAGTTATTGATCCTTTATGGAAATTACAAAATAATAATATAAATAAAAAAGTTTTTTTAGAGATTGCTCTAAGAAAAGAAGTATTAAAATATATTGATATATATTTTTATTGTTACATGTTAATTTCTATATTAGATAAAGAATTTTTAATATCTAATGAAATTTGAATACAGGCTGTTAGTGAAATATTTCAATATTGCTATAAGTATAAATTGTTTTATATATAGTACTATTTATAGTTAAAATAGTATTATTAGGATCATTAGAATCTTTAGACATTATCTGCACATAAAACTTATTCAAATATTTACATGATAATAATAATTAAATCTCATTAGAGGATTCTTAAAAGAGATTTTTTATATAAATTTAATCATTTGCAGCTTGATATTCTTTGTTATATTATAATTGATTAGATATTACCAAAATTAGTATATCATTAAAATCTTCTTGTTAATAAAAAAATTCAGCTATCTTGAAAAAAGGATTTCAAGATAGAATAGGAAAAGCTTGTAAATAAAAAAGTAAAAAATTTTAGCAAATATCTTACTATTCATAAAAATTGGATTTGCTCATATTCTAATTTTTGTAAAAATAGTTTTTGCTTTGTAAACATTTAGTTGCACTATTAGGAAATATAGAAAGTTTATTTTTTCACAAAATTCAATGAAATAATCAATATTCATTTATTTATAAAAGCCAACAAACTATATAGGAAGCTATCAAAAATAATCTAAATATAAATACTATATCAGTTAATTCTGCAATTAAAAATACTACAATTAATTTAGATAAATATAATTTATACAACTTAAATTTAAATAAATACAATTCAAACTTAAATGAGCATGATTCAAACTTGAATAAGCACGATCCAAACTTGGATGATTATGATTCAAATATTAGGCAATTTAACTAAAAATAATACTAGAAAAGGTATTATTTATTTTATTTGTTATTATTTTTATATATCTAATGTGAATTTAATGTTTTAGATAGTAAAATTTATTGAAAAATCATCAAATCTTTCTCAACAAAAAAAAATAGTTGAATGCAGTTGAAAAAAACTTTTGACCTGATTAAAAAGATGATAAAAGACTTAAAAGCATTTGAGAATACAAAAACATTAAGGAAAACTTGGAATGGTCGTAATTCAAATACCTTCTACTGGCAATAATATGTTTTGAGTTTTTTAAAAGGCTATTTCAGAAAAGAACGAGCTATCATTATAAAAAAAATACTTATTTTTTAAAAAAAAATTATATCTTAAGTTGAATAATATAAATAATGATACTGTTAAATAAATACAATAAATGTAAATTACTTTTTCGAAAAAACTTTTAAAGTAACCAATCAGAAAACATTGTATTAGTTAAAGAAAATTGGGTGAGATATGCAAAATACATAAAGATATTTTTTCATTTAAATCTCAATTTTTTATTTTTTATTTTTTTAATGTATATGATCTTTATAAAAAAAAATTTTTATAATCTTCTTTATTATAGTCATGAGTTTTTAATATTTCTTCTCAAACCTGTCCGCTGTAAAACTTGGCAATATTTTTATCTTGACTATTTAAGTATACTTATTGTAATTTGTTGGAATGTTAATTTAAGCGCCGCTACGTAACAGATTTTTGGGCGATGCTAGGATGGTTCATTCTTTGTCACCGTTAGAGTTAAAATTTAATAACGCAAAAAAAATAATAATAATTTAATTGCAATAACAAAAAGTTTTCGTATAATAGCGAAAACCTATCATTATTATTAACAAAAATTTCAAGTATATCCTAAATTTAACCTTCATTAGGGTAACCTGAAAGTTAGCTGGTTAAGCTGCTGGCTGAGTTTGTCTGGGTACTGTTTTTCGGTTAATTTGAGCTTCGATACGTGTTAGGTGATTATGATAAGTATAATCTTGTTTTGTCGCTTTTTGGTACCAATTTAATGCTTTTTCCAAGTTTTTTTCGGTTCCTTTACCATATTCGTAACAGTAGCCAAGTTCATATTGTGAAATAGATAGTCCTTTTTCAGCCGACTCTTTAAATAATTTAAATGCTTTAACCACGTCGTTATATGTTCCATAACCTTCTTGGTAACATAATCCTAAAGTATGCATTGCTAATATATTTCCTTTATCAGCTGCTTTATTAAGATATTTAAATGCTCGGGTATAGCTCCTAAGTCTATAAAAATATTCTCCAAGCATACGTTCTGCTGCTGTGCATCCTTTTTCAATCGCCTTAGTGTACCCTTCAATTGCTTTTGTCCTATTCTTTTTGGTATTCCATCCTAATTCATAACACTTTGCAACAAAATATTGTGCAATAGTGTCACCTTTTTTCGCCGATTCAGTGAATAAATTAAATACATTTACATTAGTTTCATCAGTGCCAATATTCCAACTATAAAATAATCCGAGTAGGCAAATATTCCTTGCATTATTATTATGTATTAATAACCAAGTAAAAACTTCTTCATTATTTTTACTATGTTCAGATATGAAATTGTTAATAATATTACTAACAGATCTACCTTCATTAAATAGTTTATTAAAAGTCGAATATAACTCATTTACAAAACGAGTCATGTCATCAGAGTTAGTAAAATCAACTGTCGTGACGTCTGGTGTAAGATCAACTGCAATGTTTTCGAAAGCGGTATCAATGAAATTTTCAAATTCAGTTTTATCAAAGACATTAAATTTATCGACAGTGTCCAGAAAAATAAAATCTTTTAATCGTAAAGCAACTTCTTGAATAGATGGTCGATCTTTTTGCATACCCTGCCAACACCCTAAAATGTAAAATTTTAATATGAATTTATGACTAATAAACTTAAAAAATAAATAATAAATTATGATATAAACATACTCTGATAAATATTAACATAGTTATAATGTGTACTAGCGACTGGTTCCTCTCTTAGTCCATTCTCAATCCTTTGCGGAAGGGATGCAGGAACTTCGTTTTCAAAAGGCGGTTTTTCACTTGATATTTCCCACAGGATAACTCCAATACTATAAATGTCCGATTTCTTATTCTTTTTACATTTGAGGGACCTTCCGTCTTGACTTTCTCTTGTTGTGAAGCATTGAGGATCAATATATGGTATAACTCCGAAAATATCACTTGCAGTTAGAGACATAGAAGCTTCGATAACACGTCGTGATAATCCAAAATCGGCCAATTTTAATGTTTCTTTGTGAATAAGTATATTATTAGAGTGCTTTTAGGGAGAAAAATAAAGAATCACCAAGCTTTGTTAGTTTTACATCTATCATCTATATCATATCAGATATTGAGAATCTCTATTATTGCCACATTTACCAGATCACCATGAATAATATTATAGTTATGCAACCATTTGACTGCATCAACAAGTTGGATTGCAAATTGAATTTTTAACTCCCATTCAATTTTAGTTGCATTTTTGCATAAATAATCACGTAAAGTTCCACTATCCGCATATTCAAGAATAAGTGCATATCTGGTAATTTTTTTATCAATCTCACCTATTTTAATGAATATTGTTAAGACATTATTTATTTATACGTATATATATGATTTCAAAAATATCTTTACCTTCAAATTTAGTAATACCATGTAACTTAATAATGTTCTCATGAGATTCAACACGAATCATATGTTCTAGCTGTATATCGTGCATTTTAGTATGTAATTTAAATGTTATCTAACAATCTTAAATAATTACTTACTTCATTTACAAGCTCATCAGTATGCGTAATTTTGTTAATAATTTTCAATGCATATATATTATTAGTGCTTTTTAGTATTACTTTATAAACTTCACTATAAGCTCCAGAACTAATGTAATCATATTCATCAAATTCATTACGGTTATATTCAATAAGCTTTCCTTCAATAATTTTACTCTCTATATATTTTTCATGAGAGCTGTTCTTGCTATCAATTAAAGAAAGTCGCATATTTTTTAATTTTTCAAGAACTTCCTGAATTTCTGGACGTCTCTCAGGTTCTTGATCCCAACAATGTTGATAAAGATTAACATAATTATCTGGCGTATTCTTTATGGGTGTTTCTCTGTTTCCGTTGTATACATGAAGAATAATTGCTACTCTATGATCAAAGTTATTAAAAGGTGGCCTACCACTAGAAATTTCCCAAAGAATTACTCCAAAACTATAAATATCAGATCTCTTATCACATTTATATTGAATATTTAAAAGACATTGGGGTTCTAAATATCCGTACATTTCAGTATTATTAAACATCGTTAATTCGTCCATATGTTTAGATATTCCAAAATCTGCAATTAACATTCGTTGATGATGAACTAAAATATTTTTTGAATGCTATTAAATAATAATAATAATAATAATTA